ATGCACAAGGCCACCATTCTGTGAGAAAGGATTTTGGCGCCAATGTAGTAAGGGGGGGGGGAATAAGTAGAGGGAACTTTGCACAGGCTTTAGTTTTAGCAATGCTTTGCTTCAAGCTGCATGTACCAACCAATAAAGGAGCATTTATCTGAACCAGGCCTGGTTTCACGAGAATTCTTCTAGACTGGGGTTTGGACTTTGTGGACTTGACACCTAGATTCTACTGTATTGTTGTATTTCCCCCCAAGTAATAGAATGTGAATTGGGGCGGTGGGTCTCTAGTATTTGCTAAGACTAGAAAATGTTGTGGGAAACCAAGAAGCAGCTGTAGATGGTGCACTTCAGGATCCTTTTGAAAACTACCCTGGCCAGCTGTTTCTGAGGGTGAGGCCCATGTTGGATCCTCGTAAATATTTCTATTTTTGTTTCTCCTTTCTTGTTACCTCTTCTCCTCTCATCTTCAGTCAGTTTTCTTCTTTTATTTTCAGAGGACTGATACTTCTTCCTCTGAGCACATCTACATCCTGGCTTGTCTCCCCTACCTCTCCTTTCGCTTTTGGCTGTTTCTAATAGAAGAAAAGTGGAAGTGTGTGTTGTGCGCTTCTCTTTTTAGAATAGTTTCTGTGTGCGTGAGAGAGACAGACAGGTTGGGATATGTAGAATGAGATCAGTATTAAAAATATGGTGTCTAATTTTGACAGGCCATTAATTTTTTTTCATAGCTATTAATTCTATTGCTCTTATTGTCATTCCAGGCTTGCTCATTTTTGGAGTGCAGGTACAACCAAGACTGAGTGTATGGGTGTGTCTGTCTCTGTCTGTCAGGTATATATGTGTATCTATGTGCACATGTATGTACAAACATGTGATATGCACACATTAGTTGAGGAGAATGTCTGGATTGGTTTTGCCTGGGGTTGGCAACTTTAGGTTCCCAGAGTGTGGATTTTGAGCCTTGTGTAGAATCTGTTTACCATTTTTTCCCGTTTGAAAAGTAAGCATCTACTCTTCCTTTTGGCGGGATCCTCTGGAGTTCAGGTTTGTCATTTTTCTTTTGAGTAGATATGGAGTCGAAGGAAACAACAGTCACGTAGCAAAAGACCTCAACGCAGGTACACTTTACATATCAAGAGAAAAATATATACCTGCTCAAATTCTCTCCTTTTACATGATGATTCATCTTTTTGATTATTACATTTTCTTCTGTTCTCTTTCTTTCTCTGGTGGATATCTTAGGAAAGCAAACCTATTTGGACAGTTAGTGGACTACTTCAAAATCTTTGAGTGAAAGATATTTATTTATTAATCACGTTTACATGGCTGGCCATCTCACCCAAAGTGACTTTAGGCAGCGTACAACAACTGAATAAAACAACAAATAGATAAAAATCATTATAAAAAGATAAAAATTATTAAAATAAAAATACCGGTAGTCCTCAGTTAACGACTGTTCGTTTAACAATGGTTGAAGTTACAACGGCCTCAGAAAGGGTGCTTTATGGCCTGTAAAGCACTTCCAGCCGTAGTAAAGCATCACCCCCCCACCCCCGGGGGGTCATGTGGCTGCATTTTGGGCACTTGGTAACTGGCTTGTATTTACGACTGGGTGCCAAGCGCCCTGCGATCATGTGATCACCATTTGCAATCTTCCCTACTGGCTTCCCCAGAAAGTCAGTGAGTGGGGGCTGGCAGGGAAGGTTGCAAGCAGAGGGGAAACCTCTTGGCGGTGTGCAGGAATGAACTCAAATCCTGAAGATTTGAGCTCCGTTCCTTCACAAAGGATTTCCCCTCTGTGCATAGAGGGGAGGGGAAATCCTTTGAGCTGAAATCCTTCAGCAGGCAGCTCTTTCATTCTGCTTAACAACTTGGGAGATCTGCAAAGACTACCTGGGAATGGGAATGCCCGGATTGAGGTGGTTTAGCGAAGCAGTCGTGTGGGCATCTTGCTTAATGACTACTTTGCTCAACGGTTGAGATTCTGGTCCCAGTTGTAGTCATTAAGCGAGGACTGCCTATATGATAAAAAAAAATTAAACTCTACAAACCTCACGGAGAGAGCAGAGTATCAATTACAATGGAGACATCTAAGAATGTCTCCGGTTCCCAAAGACCCCCAGGCCTGATGACACAACCCGGTCTTGAGGGACTTCCTAAATGACAGCAGGGAAGGGGCGAGCCTCACTTCAAGTGGGGGGGGAACGTTCCACAAGGAGGGAGCCATGGCAGAGAAGGCCCATCTCCTGGGATCCACCAAATGCTCCCATTGGAACGCATAGCACACCTTCCCTGCTGGATCTAACGGGATGGACTGATGTGATTGGGGAGAAGCGGTCCCTCAGATAACCTGCCCAGTCTCTTACTCTTCCCTTGGAGATCCCTTATCAGTTTTAGGTCCTACAGGCTGATAACGCATCTTCGAGGCAGATGGTCCTGGCACACTATCCTTAATGGAGAGATGGCTGCCTAGATGCCCATTGAAATATAGGTGGTAGATTCTCAGTTTTCTTGAGTTCTTTTCTGAATCCTTCTAACGTCTCTTCATATTACTGTTGTCAGTTCTGCTCATTAGTGGTTAGATCCTAAAACCACACCTAATAAGACCTAGCTAACAGCTTTGTCCACATAAATTAAACCTGATAAAGCAAATCTTAAGACGAAAAAGAGATGTCTTGTTTTATCTTGTAGAGGAGGCATCCCCGTTCATCAAAACCAGATGGTGGAAGTATATCTAAGGAGGAAAAGACTGCGAGCTCAGAGAGAGGCTCCTCAAGTACTTTTGGATGGCACTTTGAGGAAAAGGGTGGGTTTCCAGGAAATCAAGAGAAAGGGGTTGGCCAATCAGCCAGAATGAACAGAGTAATTAAACATTGAGTTGTGGGGTAGACAGGATCCCAAAGCTGACGGCCTCTACAGTGTTGGGTTTTCAGTTCTAAAATTCCCAAATGGGGTGACCAGTGGCCATGATGATTGAGATTTTAGGACTGGAGTCCCAACACATATGGAGAGCATCAAATCTATGAAAGCTAGTGGATCTAGGACTGCTGTCATGATGTCATACACTTTGATGGACTAGAGCAGTGTTTCTCAACCTTGGCAGCTTGAAGATGTGTGGACTTCAACCCCCAGAGTTGCTGGCTGTGGAAATCTGGGATTTGAAATCCACGCATTTTCAAGTTGCCAAGGTTGAGAAACACTGGATTAGAGACTATTTCATCCAATGCATGAAGGATTTCCCTCACATGGAAGGTGTACATACCAAGTTTCAATATATAGAAAATATGTTCTAAGTAGGCAAAAAGATATCTTGTTGGCTCCCTCCCTCACACAGTATACAGGGGTTTTTTTTCATACGTTCTTGAGTGTGAGTCTGTGTACAATAATTTCTTTGAAATGATCACATGTTTTTGTCCTTACCTTCACACAGTTTATTTATATATATATATTCTGAATATTTTTGTCACAACTAGTAGAATTTCTCTTATTTGGTTGTCATCAACTGCTGTACTAAACTCAAGCTTACAGTTGGAACAATGCTGTGAATATTAAGGGCAGCGCAAATTTCCACCCTCATAATTGCTATATCTTGAAAACTTGCTACATGGTGTTAGAAGCTTGTGTTCTGGAACCAGATCAGTGAAGACAGTGGGTAACTGTAGAATTCCCTTACAGAGGATTAAAAAAAATTAGGAAGTTCTGCGGTACTACAAAATCACGGAAGATCAGTTGCCAAGTTCAGTCTATGCCACGAGATTAAGAGATCTTGTTTTTATTTTTGAACCTTCAACAATTTTGTAGAATGCAGCAGGGGAGGCGCTCCTGTCTGCCTTCCATGTCGATCTGCCTGTCAGCAGGATAATGCTCTGAAAACCAAAGAGAAAGGGGTCACATTTGGAGTGGGGGGAGAAAAATAAAGATGGAATTTGAAAATGGGCGGGATCTGGAGCATTTCAGAAGGATCTCACCAACGCAGCTTGATGGAGATGGGGTTGCAGCTTGCAAAGCTGCCAACTGCTGCAAAGGCCCCCTCCCATCTCCTTGGTCACATGACCCAGAATAGACCATATCCAGCCACCCCTGGCTTTCCAGGGCTTACATTCACACAAACTAATACAGATGTAAAATGTTCCTTCATTACACAGGAAAATATAGATGCTCCTTTGGTCACTGCTGGTAAACAAATTGGAAAAGGATTCCAAAGGTCTAGTTTTACATGCTTGTCCTTCTTTGCTGATAAAATAGCATATAAATAGAGGTGCAATAAATAGTACCTAAATTAAAGGAGATGCCTGTAGTAAATATGTTCATAGAAATGGACCTGCTGAGGTTTCTTTCTGCTGCAATGACTCAAATTCCACAGTAAACTGCTTGATTTTTCTGTGCTGTTTGTCCAGGAAAGCACAGGTACATCTCACTTAGTGACTGCCTTGTATAGCAACCGTTTAGAGTTATGATGGTGATGAAAAAGTAACTTTATGGCCAATCACGTATAGGACCTTCACAGGTCTGTAAAGCAAAAGAAAGCTGAAGTAAGACTAAAAGCACAGTCGTGATTTCA